ATATCACACGCGAAACATCGACCTCCAGACCAGGAGACTCCAACTTTCATTCAAATGCACGGCGGTACTACTTTTGACTTCGGCACTGCCCTTGTACTCCGCTATGTCAGGAGCAGACCAAACACAGTTGACAATGATCGTCCTGAGCTACCATAACCTCTATCGACAGCATAGGAAGCTCGAACGGAATCTTGAAGCCATCGCCAAATCGAGAGCTAGCATGCAAGAAGTTCTTAATGAGCTCGAAACGCAGGGTGGCAAAGACGAGATCTGACAAGGGAATCCATGTGACATGTATCAGACCCGTACACCCGGATGAACAGGTCCGCGCACATTTGTAGTATGGAAGTGTGCGAAACTCGCTATGTCATGGAGGAGGTGAAGCCCGAGTAGCTCTGGCGCAGTGGAGTACATGGCGCCATGCAGGCCGGCATGATCTTGCAGGCCATCTCATATAGAACTGTAACAAACCCCGCCAATGTACCAGGAAATGTTCGCTTGCTCTTTCTATCCAATCGTATGGGTTGAAGGGGATGCGCGTCTTGGTGCTAGAGTCCCGATGGGCGGCGGTATCATCGAGCCCCATGCCGTAGCATGCGAAAGATCAAGGGTACCGAGGGTAGTAGCGTCGAGAAAGTAATCGAAATCGACGTGGTGAAGCGAGTGGTCGACCTGTGCTTTGTTATTGATCCTGAGGCTTGGGCTAGTGCTGCAAGCAAGAAGGGGACTCGGCAGAGAATTGGCCGGCTTGTATTACGAGGGCGCAGGAACCGATCTGCGCACGACACTCTTCTTCGCGGTTATTGTGCCCTCACCGATGAGAGGCAAACTCCATCAAGAAGGTAAGATAATAGTTGTCATCGCAAGCTATCCAATGTGCGAATAAACCAGTGAGAGTGCGCGTACGGCATTTGCGCATGCCATAGCGTCCTCTCGGCGATGAACTTCTCATCCGAAACAGGGGCTAGGTATGATGAGCCAGACGTCGATGGCAGCGACGATAATGCGAGACCCAGAAGGAGCAGAAGCGGTGAATGGCGTTGACTAGGAGTGACGAGAGCAGACGCGGAGACCTGATGTGGATTAGATGAGGCACTGCTAATGGGAAGATGGCGCGAGAGTGCGATGATGAGATTAGAGATGAGCTTCAATCAGTACAATAGTAGTCGGTTCAGGCGCGAAACCAAGGTTTCTGTCGTGAGGAATGCGAGGATCAATCAGAGGAGGACTCAAGGGCAGGGATGAACTGGCCATCTGATGGACGAGTAGAGAGAGGGTGGTGCTTGATAGGACGCGTTACGGCCGTCTGACTCTTGTGGTGGTAGTGAACACAACATCGAGGGGAGTGAGCTTGGTCAACTGTCTGCGCCAACATCGAGCAGAGGCAACGGTGATAGATTGTCCGCATGAACAAGATTAGGAGGTGCTGGTAACCGTTAAGACGATCATGCGCTGCCTGGAAGAAGAACAGTCCCTGTGTCCACGAGTGCGAATCTGGTTCTGTGGACGCGACGGGAGGAGTGACAAAGACGTGAGCAGGCACGTTGAAGATTCGAAGTGGTAGGAGCGGTCCATTCGGGAGACGATATCTACCAGATGCGTGTCATGGCGTGGTAGATGAGCAGGGACTGTTGTACAGTGAGGTGAGCGCCTGGATTCCAGCGAAAAGGACCAAGGTGATTTATTTGTCGCCGAGCTGGGGCTCTCGGCGCAGAAAGGCACGCTGATTGAAGACACACCGCTTCCTGATCGACCTCGATCAGCTTTCATGCATTGATCTGTGATGAGTAGCATTGGGATAATGCTATCTCTCAAGCGGTAGATCCTAATGCGATTATGAGACAGCTTGGGACCACAAGCGACCGGTTGTCATCGAGGCAAACGAGAGGACAAGTCCGCGTAATGCGAGTTGGCACCACCCGTGCGAAGGCCCAGCCTGACCGTATTGAATCACTATTTCTACTCGCATAGTGACCCGCACGTTGTCGGAAAGTGAGTCAAGGGGAATTTTAACGGTGTAGTGTGAGCGTAACCTCCCAGATTCGGATTTTACGCTCTGTCGCATTACAGCTCGCAGCAGGTTCACCCCGCATTCGAAACGCCAATGACCGCTAGTTAGCGAGATGCCGCATTTGCAACCACATGACCGTAATCGTCAATGATACCAATCTTACACTCGACTTGTAAACTTAATGCTTCGAAAGCGCATGAACACTCCGGTAGGATACCACGACCTTGTATATACGAGTCACTCGTTGTACCTCGTAAGAA